ACTATCTTTTTAGAGAAAATTCTTAAGAAAGAAACAAATGCAACAGCTTTTGAAAGAATTTACTCATTTTCTGAATCGCATTGCGATTCTTGGAATCGCGTTGCGATTTTCTTAATCGCGTTGCGATTCTTGGAATCGTGTTGCGATTTTCTTAATCGCGTTGCGATTCTTGGAATCGCGTTGCGATTTTCTTAATCGCGTTGCGATTTTCTTAATCGCGTTGCGATTTTCTTAATCGCGTTGCGATTTTCTTAATCGCGTTGCGATTCTTGGAAGATCGCGTTACGATTTTATGAATCGCATTGCGATTCTTGGAAGATCGCGTTGCGATCTTCTTTTCAACGTTGCGCTTTTCTAAATCGCGTTGCGGTTTTGATATCGCGTTGCGATTTTGTTGGTCATTTTGGCAAATCAAAAAAAAATTGATTAAAATCGTATATTATAAGACATTTTCGGTCACTGACGCTTTTTTCTCATATATAAATCAACAAATTTATTATTTAACATTTACAAATTATGTAAATTTTATGCTGGATTTTTAAAATTAAAATCATATTTATTTAATGTATAAATATTAAAAAATTATTATATTCTAATCAATAATATAAAATTGATAAAAAAAACATTAGAGACACGATTATTTATCTTTAACTATATACTTTTAAAATTATCAGAAACAATACTGTCCATATTCTTTAGGTCTTTTACCGAATTTAAAATATATATTTTCAGAAAGGAACCTACAAGTCGATCTTTTTAAATAAGCAACTTCCTTTGTCTTTCATGCTCCAAACTCAGTAGTTAGAAGTTAATACGGTTTGCTAAGGTGATTCTCTGGAATTCTAAAGTACATGAAATTGATCAAATCAACATTTTTTTTCTATTAAATAATTTAATCAACTGATTAGTGGTTCACGGAATCTCCCTTTACAATTAAATAATACAGTTTAAATCCATAGGATGTTACACCAAATAGTATTCTCCTCTCATGTCATCGTCACACCATGGTTGTATATATACACGTAATATTTAAAATATATAATTTAAATATGTTTAAATATATATTATTTTTGAACTTATGAGTTGAAAGATAATTTAAACATTATATTTCGAAAATTGTTAACACGTGAATCGCGAATCGAGGAGTAAAAGAAAATAAACAAAATTCAATTATTTCGGAGCGTGTAGCACAAGCATCATCAATAGATAGTGGTGGATGCATAGCCTAGAATACGTGGTGTTTACGTACGCGTCCTTGACGACCACATCTGATTGGATTAAATTCAACGGCTATAATCATTTTTAAGAAACCAAATCAAACATTAAGCAATGCATCCGAACATTAACCACTTATGACTGGTAAGTCCTAAATTTCTAACGATGTTAATACATTTTTCTATGAAATCGAAGAGCACGGGTTGGAACAGTCGATAGTTGAAGCATTGCATTCACATTGATGTTCAAGTCAACTCGGTGAACATCGACTGATCTTCAGCCTGCATCCGCGTGGCACTAATCTCCACAATGTGTAAACGCGTATATTCCAAGTCGCGCCGCACATGAAAAAACGCGGCTCCATCCCCCATAGGCTAGTTAGAAAAAAATATTTTTCTCAAATATAAGACACTTATCATATTATTTTATGAATTACGATCATTGTTACAATGTTAAGGGAAAGACCATTAGAATTGTCACGAGATTTTAATTTTTTCAGTGATTCCTTTTTGTAAACCAAAAAAATGTTAATAACGGTAAAGACATGCAACGATCTTTGAGTCTTTTAAAGTTATTATAGCAAATACCCTAATCTGAGTAATAATCGGTAATGTGAAATATTTTAGGATATTTTTTCAAACATTATATTTAATTTAATAAAAATGCAGATGTTCGTAAAAGTTTCCTACTAAAAATGCTGTCTCATAGAGATTGGTTCGGTTATCAGGCTCAATTTCAAGTTCAGCAGGAGAGGAAGACCAGCCATCGTTTAATTTTATTAGGAGAAATTTTAAGTTTTTTTTTTCTTTTATTGCACTTTTAATACTTTTTATGGTTTACAGCTACCCAACTAAAGAAAGAGGGGAAGTTTCCATACGGTTTCTTTTTTAGTAATAAAGGCTAATACTTTCATTTGTTTGCAAAAAGAAAAAAAAAGACTAATATAAACATAATAATTTTTTTATCTAAAATAATTAACCTATATTTTTAATTTAAAAATGTAATAATATATATATGTATATATGGATTAAACCTATAAAAAATCTATTAATTGGACTAATATAATTTTTTCAACATAATGTATTTTTAATTTAGGGTAAACTTGATCACCCACCTATTACTTAATTTATATTTTGGTCACTCAATTATTTTTTTTTCAAAATCATATATAACTTTACATTTTGGTTATGTTTTGATATTAACCGTTAAAAAATTAACAATGATGGTACATGACATTTTTTAATTATTTTTCAACCATGACGTGACATTATCTTATGATGACAAGTCAATATCATTACTAATTTTTTAAAGACAAGTGACCAAAACATAGTCAAAGCATAATATTAAGTGTGATTTAAAATAAATAAAAATTTGATGGTCAAGACATGAATTAAATAATAAGTGGGTGACTAAATGAGTAATTTACTCTTAAGGCATAGATAGGCCATGGCCATGGCCTAGGCCTAGATATATACACTTGGCACTAATTTTATTTTTTAAATTTGGAAAAAATTAACCATCCACGCATAAATATAAACTCATGATACTAAAGGACATATATCTTACTTTTTAATATATATTTATAAAATTTATTAAATAATATAAGTTGTTAAAGGAAATATTATTTTTGTTAAAATTTTATATTTAACATTCTAATTATTGTATGTTATGAATATATATATACACGTTATCACTAATTAATTTTTTTTAAATAAATTTTATCTTATAATTACATAAATTATTCAATATATATATATATATATATATATATACACGTCTGAAATAAAGCGCCAATATTCTTGAAAAAGTGAAGGGAGAAAATCCAAGGGAACAACAAATACTATTTACATGTGGTAAGTCTTACGTCACTTCAAGAAGTCATTAATGATGATGTTATCAGTGCAACCACGTATATAGATATATACATATAACAACTAAAAAAGTAAAAAGATAACAGTTTAATTAATTGGTCAAGTGATATTATTTTATATGAATTTGAATTATGATATTTTATCTTGAAAATATAATAATTATTTACTTGAAAAAGTAAAAATAAACAATCAGTCAGTTTAATTTTTTATTTGTTTAACTTCATTGATAAAATATAAATTTGTTTTAATTTAATTATTACATTTCATTGTTTTTTCCATACTAAATAAAAAGAATGTAGTTAAAAAGACTGTTGGTTTGATATCATCACTAATTTGAGGTAGATAGAGTGACGTTAACATTAAACAACAAAAAATACAAGTTAAAAGAGAAATTGTGATAGTTTAAAGGTCAAATTAATATTTTATCAAAAGTTTAAACTCAAACTAGAAATAATTATTTTTTATTAACGTGTTACGTCGTCAATATAAAATAAATTAAAGATTTGGCGATCAAATTATAACAAATTGAAAAAATAAATGATAAAGTTATATATTTTAAAAATTTTGATCAAAATAAGACAAAACTAGAATAAGTATGATCTATGCTAAATTATACACATTTGTGTCTTTCATGAATATAATTTAGTTTTTACTTGAACGAAACCTACTATTTTTGTAAGATACAAATACAATAGATAATCACAAATAATATTAAATCCAAAATATATGGAATAAAAAATAATTGTTGCAAATAATAATTGGGTAAGATAAGTCAGACCTAAATACTAAAAGAATCATAATCTTTAACCTCGCTCAACTCTATCAATACTTCATCGAAAAATATGTTGTTTTAAAGATTTTGTTATCTTTTGGAAATTAACATATTATTTTTTTAGATGCAATAAATGCCCGTCCAAATCAGTTGGTAGAATATAAGGCTCTTAACCTTGTGGTCGTGGGATCGAGTCTCACGGAGGGTATTTCATAATTCGGAGGTCTCCACGGAAGCTGCTCTCAACCTGGCGTTGGGGGCAACCTACTATCTTACCTCCCCTTACCCCATTACATATGAAAAAAAAGGTCAGCTAATTTTTATTTATTTTTAGATGCAATGGAGTGCGTCAGACGAGCGTGTATATATATAATCATAATATATGTCCTATTCAAGCAATTTTAACGTGTGAAAATATTTTTGATCGAAATCGAAATAATTTTTTTTTTAATTTTTGATTTTACGAATGTATATTATAATCGGTGGTAGATTTATAGTTTTATGGGTGTATATGTGTCTATTTTGAAATATAATTTTTTAATTAATTATCTATTTTATTGATGGTATTGATTATGAAATTTTATTTGTACTCATCTCATTTATAAATTTGATGTTATTAACATATATGTGTTACTCCTCAAAAATATTTTTGAATTGAACCCTTAATGATTTATTAACTAATCAATTAAACACATTTGATAAATTGTGTTGTTGTTCATTTACTTTATTGTTGTTGCTAATACTTATCATTAATAATTAATTGATTGATTAAAAATTGATGCTTTAATTTAACAATTTGGGCATGTCCGAAAAAATATTACTTATTATTTTGGAGAGATGGGCTGTAAAGATCGAAATAAATTAAATTATTTTGGGGGCGTGAAGCACAAGCGTCATCAAGAGAGTGGTGACAGAGCAGAGCCTATCATACGTGGTGTTTACATACGCGTCCTTGAAGACCACATTTGATTGGATTAAATTCAACGGCTCCGATCATTTTAAGAAGCCAAATCAAACGTCAAGCAACGCACCCTACGTGGTATAAATATCTAACTTCCCCGAAAGCCCTCCAAATTTATTTCGTAGTGACTCGTACTCTCCGCTTTTATGTTTTAACCCTGTTGTTGTTGCTTTGATCTGTGTTTTCTTCCCTTTCCTCCTCCGGTCTATGTCCAAGCTAGATTAAAAACGGATCTTTCCTTTCTTTTCTCGAAAAAGAAAATTCAAATTAATTATCTCATCAATCAAACATATGCTTGCAATGGAGAATATTGAGAATATTGGCGATGAGTACAAAAATTATTGGGAGACAAAATATTTCCTTGAAAACGAAGAATACAGGTACCTTCTTCCTTTTCCATTTCAGTTCGCAGTACGAGTAAAATCCTTTTAGAAAGCGAAACGCCTTTAGCTAAGACATATAGTACGCTAGAAAACAGTAGAGAATTGAATTTGAATTATTACGAATTAGTAAAGAGATTTCAATTCTGTTTTGAATTGAAGCAGTTGGGCGATTGATGAATTCTCCGGCTACTACGATTCGAGTTCTCCAGATGGAGCAGCCTCCTCCGCCGCCCCCAAGAACATCGTTTCCGAGAGAAACAGAAGGAAAAAGCTTAACGAACGCCTCTTTGCTCTCAGAGCTGTTGTTCCAAATATCAGCAAAGTATGTCCTGCTTTTTTCGCTTTTAGAGAAGAAAACAATAAAAGAAATTGGGTCGATCCTTAGTTTGATGAAATGTTTCGCAGATGGACAAGGCTTCAATTATCAAGGACGCCATTGATTACATCCAGGAACTGCACGATCAGGAGAGCAGAATCCAGGCGGAGATCATGGAGTTGGAGTCTGGAGAACTGATGAAAAATCCAGGGTTCGGGCATGACCAAGAGCTACCGGTGTTGAGATCCAAGAAGACAAAGCTCGACAACATTTTTGATTATGGAGGATCAACAACTTCCCCTATTGAAGTTCTTGAAGTAGTTTAATTAAACATACAATTCCCTATCTGATGCTAGCAATTGTTTTTCAAAATTGTTGACTTACAAATAATTTTGGTTTTTGAAGCTGAAAGTGACACACATGGGAGAGAAGACGATGGTGGTGAGCATAACATGCAGCAAAAGGACAGACACGATGGTCAAATTGTGTGAGGTTTTTGAATCTTTGAAGCTCAAAATCATCACAGCGAACATCACTGCGGTCTCCGGTAGGCTGTTGAAAACCGTGTTTATTGAGGTAAGTGATTTCCCTTCTTCCCCCCCCCCCCTTTAACTGATTTTGTTCCAGTAAAACCTGCATATACTTATTACCTAAAACGGAAAAAGCGAATTTAACTCTTCAAGCAACTTAGATCCGCGCATAAATGTAAAGATAAAATGTATAAATAATCATTAAATCATGTTAAAAATGATATTTTTAATTATTAAAGTTTTAAAAATTATATAAAAAATATTTAACTCTTTCAAATTATTATAAAATGATATCTAAAACCTGCATATATTTATTACCTAAAACGGAAAAAAGCGAATTTAACTCTTCAAGCAACTAGATCCGCGCATAAATGTAAAGATAAAATGTATAAATAATCATTAAATCATGTTAAAAATGATATTTTTAATTATTAAAGTTTTAAAAATTATATAAAAATTTAACTCTTTCAAATTATTATAAAATGATATCTAAATTTTATCAAATTATTAGAAAACGATATTTAAATTTATTAAAATATTACAAATGGATCTTGAATTTAACAAAATTTACTACAATTATATATCATACAATGACTATTATGTAATAGTATGATAAACTTAAAGATAATTTTCGTAACTCCTGAAACTTCCGTAATAAAAAAAATAATTTTATTATAGTTTAATAACTATCGAAGAATGATATTTAAACTTATCAAACTATTATAAAATGATTTTAAAATTTAACGGAACTTACTACAATTTTATAACGTGCCATGACTATCTTATAATAGTTTGATAAGTTTAAAAACATTCTTATAACTTTCGAAACTTCGATAGTAATAAAAAAATCATTTCATCGTAGTTTAGTAACTATATGTGCTTTATCCTAAATTAATTATACTAATTAGAAGGTTTTGCTATAATACTTAATGATTAATCAATTAATTAGTATCAAATATTCTACAATTACATTATAAAAATAATTCTTGCATTTCAACTCATTTTATTTGAATATTGAACGTAATTTAAATAATTTAACATTTTATTTACGTTAAATTAATTAATCAATCATATTTAATTTCAAATTTATTCTTAAACAATTAATTGATAAACCAATCTTTAAAGAGTTTTATCTCAGTATAGAATTTTATTAGACTAGATATTTGAAAACAAAAATAAGAGCATTATTTGTTGGATGATGCAGTGACAAATAAATTATAGGAAATTGGTGGCGTACAACACATAGTTAGAAGGGTATCAAATAAGAAAAACGTCCAGATATGTGGGGCCAAAAGTATAGAAACCGAAGATAAACTTTAATAAAGGGATGATCCACTACCATATTTTATTGACTAGTTTAATACATACTCAGAAACATGACAAATAAATAACTATTTATAAAAATAAAAAAATAAAAGAATGAAATAATTGAGTACTCTACTAATCATATTTCAGATACATAAAATATCATTTTCCCCCTATTTTTGCTTAAAACTTACCATAAAACTGTGTTAATACTTTAATTGAATCGATCTCAGTAATTTAATAATTTAGGGTTAGTGAAATTCAATGTTCCGAGTAGGAAAGGAAAAGGGAAAGTACCAATATCCCAGAACTCCCACTTTATTCATACAACATAACAATAAATCATCGATTGTGCTACTTTTTGATATTTTCTAATTCAGAACATATATAAACAATAGTAGAGATTTAATAAATGTAGTGGGTTTTAAATTTGACAATAATTTAAAAAACTACCATATATCTTTAATCTTTAAAAATATAATCTTATAAAAAAGTTGGTATACAGCTATCTTTTGCTTATTATCATATTTGGGAGTATAAATTTATATACTAGTTGTGAATCTCATTGTGACACTATTAAAATCATTAAAATAATATAATTAGTAATTTTGTCTTCACATTCGTCACGAAAATATTTGTGGTTATGATTAAAAAATATAGACATAATATCTTGATATAAATTTAAGAATTTATATTAAATTTATCAAAAGAATATATTAAAATTTAAAAAAAAATTATAAAATTTAAATGAATGTAAAATTAGATCAATATGAAAATTTATATAATGAAAAACTAAATTTTTTAAAAGATGAGATTATATTTAACCCCTCATTCCATTTATAGGACTAAGACATAAGAAAAGTTCTTAATTATTACTAGAGACTGCTATTAAGAGGATCACCTTGAGCGATGTTTAGGGTTCTCATTTTTCGTAGTCTCAAAATTTTCAATATTACCTTATATCTTTATAACTAAAGCTTTTAATTTTTAAAATTTTATTTTTCTCTTTATAATTGGGATCTCTAATTTTTGTAATCTCATTTTTTTATCTTTATAATAGAAGTCCAAATTTTTTTCAATATCACTTTTTACATTTATAATTGAGGCCCTAATTTTTTCAATCTCATTTTTTACTTTTATAATTGAAACCCTTAATTTCATATTTTTTTTAAAGATTTATCAATGTAACGTTAAATTAATTATTTAAAGTAATATGCTTTTATTCTATAAAAAAATATTTAAAATTTTACTCAGGGTTTAAATATGTTTCCCATTATAAACCACACTAGTATCTGGACCACCGGCACACCTAATTTTGTTTCCCATTTATCGCGGCTGTAATTTTCATAAAAAAATTCAAAAGAAAACTCCAAAAAAACTTTAGAAACCACATGGAAACCTCACGCGTCAAATATATATAATATATGCAAGCTTGCATTTAAAACGTGCATGTTTTAATCTGTCATCTTTTCACATTTCCTTTTCATAGATATGGATATATTCGAATGTGTTTTTTTCCCAATAATACGTAATAGTTCGTCTCTAGTTTTGTCTTCATAATACGTAATAAAAACAGTCTGCAATTTCCTTATTCATAATTTTCCTGGGACTGGTCCATGCGGAGGGCTTGCTCTGGTTTTATTAATAATTTCATTTGTTGTTTAGATATATCTGATGAATCTATCAGATAAGAATTAAGAGCGCGTCAAATATATACTCTCTTTGCAAATTTGTGACATGTTCAATTTCCCTTTTAAATTTCCTTTTCGTTGAAGGGATAAACCCACATATTTCGTTTTCAATAGATGATATTTTGTTATTCTATTTATATTTGTCTAATCGAATTTATTTTTTGAATTCGTCATTGTTGTTTCCATCCAAAAAATGCAAACATAACTTGCTAAATAAAGAAAATTATTTCTTAAGAAGGTTCATTTTAAAAACAAAATATAATTTTGAGCTGCATTTACAGTAGTATTATTTACTAGTCTCGTGGCTCGACACAAATGCAGGCGGATGAAAGGGAGAAGGATGAGCTAAAGGTGCAGATTGAAACAGCCATTGCAGCTCTGAACGATCCGCAGAGTCCCATGAGCATGTAGCGATGCTACTTTTCATCTTCGTAGAGTATTTAGTTTTCGGCAGTCTTTTAAGGTAAGTTTGGTGAGTCCATGTGTCCTTGTAAAATAAGTGTCTCTCCAATGCTCTTTGTTTGAATTTCAATGGAATAATACTTCTCTCTTTTCCAAAGAAAATCTTTTAATTAATATTAAGATTATCGTAAATGTTATGATAAGATTTATCACGCTTCCAATAGAAGAATACATATTTAAAATATTATTAAAAAAACAATCACAAACTTAAAAAACATAAAAAGACCACTAGAAACATTAGCTTATCATTCATAGTCAACATAATTCATAAAAACTCAAAAATTCTTAATTTAATTAACCTTTTCATCTCTTTTAAACATTTATTTTTTCAAGTTATTCATAAAATTTATAAAGTCATATTGGATTTATTATTTATATAAAACCCATATCGCTTGATATATTTATTAGAAAAATACATCTCTTTTTAAATTATTTCTATAATTTGAATATTTATGAATTAAAATTGGATGGAGAAAAAAAGCCGGCCCGTTTCATCCCTACACTACACGATGCGATATATCTAGTTGGGTGGGCTGTTTTTTTTTTCAATCATATTCGTTAGGGTGGAGCGGGTGCCCTAAGGGCTAAGCCTTAAACTATCCAATATCCATCGTGCACGGACTTGATATATTCTATTGATATTGTTTCTCTCCGGCGCGGCAGCGATGGAGTCTTTGCTAGCCAATTACGCTTCTTCCGGCGACGATGAACCCCAACAAATCACACACCCTCCGACGATTAAGAACCCCTCTCTCCCTCCACCCAAATCTTCTTCCCTTTTCTCCTCTCTTCCGCAGCCTAAACAACCCCTCAAATCCGCCCTAAATGACGAAAACGACGGCGACGGCGGTAAAATAGCCGCTGGTATCCCCAAACCCTCAATTCCTGATACCAGGAACCCATCCAAGCTTTTCTCTAATCTCCCCAACCCAAATCCCAAACCCCTCAACCCCAACAGCCACCCAATCCTCCAATCACCAAGAGAATTGTTCAATTCAAGCCTCCCATAAACTCCAGTAACCACATCGACTCCGATGATGACGAAGAGGAAGAAAGGCGGAAGCGCAGAGAATCCGAAAACCTAGCCCAAGGTCCCTCTGTGAAATCCTTTCTCTCGAGCATACCTGCGCCCAGGAACTAGACTGCTTTGGGTGTTGCCCCCTCTTCAGGTTCAGGAAGGAGATCCATTATCGAAACCACCCAAGTCGCCACATCCACTTTTGAAGAAAAAAGCGAGGCAAGTGTTGACAATAATGGACACAGTTATTCAGATTATGATAGGAGTACAGATGCAAACGCCGGAAATCCTATGGATTACAGTAATTATGCAACTGATCAAAATCCTGATTCCTGAGAACTATTATGTAAATTATGCTGATTATAGCAACTACCAATCGAGTGTTGATACGAATAGTGGGAGCACTGATGTTGCTACTATTTATGGGAGTTACGAGAGTGCGAATTACAATGTACAATATGAGAATAATTGGGCTGATGGGTCAGCAACTACCATGTTGCCGGAGCCCTCACGGATGGCTGAACTTGGGGTGAAAGTTAAGGGAAAGAGAGGGAGGAATGAGATACCAACAGAAATTTTTGAGGTGAAGCAGGATGAGCTTATGAAGAATCGGCCGAGGGAAGACCAGGGTAAGATGACCGGAATAGCTTTTGGGCCATCTTATCAGGTATTGAACTTAAAAGCTAATCTAGTTTATCAGCTTGTGGTTTAATTTTTGTCTAATGATTGCATGAGCTAGTTGTTTGTCTTTTTGCTGTTGTAGCTATTGTTGTTAGGGTTTTAAATTTCGAATAGATTATCTGCACAAAACAGCATACCGATCAACCGGATTCCCATGGAAATGTAGTATAAACTGATAATGCTTACAGTGATCCATTGTTTGCGGAACAAGTGCAATGTACATAAAGCAAATTGTTGATTGTGCATGATGTAAAAGAAGCTTATGTTACGCTCTTCTTATTCCTCAAAACTGGGATTATGTTACTAAGTTTTTGTAATATTTTTTTAATGGAAATGTCTTCTCATATGGATTTCATTGGCTGTTGAGGAAGATGCCTAGTGTTTTTTTCTTCTTCCTGGTTTGCAAAATTATAAAAGAAAAGAGTATTTTAAAGGATAATGCTAAATTGACTAAAGTGTTCCCTAGGAATACATAAAAACCCATGAAAGAAAGTATCCGATCAAATGAGTTATGGCCATCAGATTAAACAATCGTGACCTCTGTTTTGAAGCCTAAATCTTGTTCTTCAACTTATTTAATCTTCAGGAGTTTCTACTTTGTTTGTGTGAAATTGAGTTCTAAACCAAAACATCAAATTATGTTTGTTTTGTTGACTCTGTTCACAACCTACGCTAACAGTAACAGCTATGTTTGTGGTTATATCCTCCAATATTTGTGGTATTTACCATGCTCACTTTGAATGTAGCCTGCTTCGTCAAAGGGCAAACCGACAAAACTTCACAAGAGGAAGCACCAAATCGGTTCCTTGTACTTCGATATGAAGCAAAAGGAGATGGAGCTGCAAGAGAGGCGATCTAGAGGTTTGCTTACTAAAGCTGATACCCAAGCCAAGTATGGATGGTGATCTTGCATCTGAGACTAGGCAACAATGTCAATGATTCCCTCTTGCCCTAATATTTTCTTTTAGCTGGCATTTATGTTAATACTTTACAGCTTCCTTACTTGAATTCTATTCTGTAGTGAACTTGGGTTTTTTACACCCAAGAATATGTTTCTTGACCTTCCGGAATAATTGAATCATTAGCGTAAAAGATGAACTTTCTTCGAGTGAACAAAGTACCAACATATTTCATAAATATAAGCAAAATCACGGTGCATTGTTTGTTAATTACTACTCGTATCAACATATTTCATTATTATAAGCACAATCACGGTGCATTGTTTGTTGATTACTACTCGTATCAGAAAAACAAGTACAACAATATGATTAAAATAAATTATCTCTGATTTTATTTAAAAATTGAATCAACGTTTTAATTATTTTTTGTTTTACAAAATATTTCATATTTAATAATCTTAAGTTGTACCACTGCAATTGCATAATCGATTACCACGTAAAAGTACAAATGTATCATGTATATTATTTATGTTTGTTCTATTATTGTTTTTTGAATAATCTAAAGCGATTAAAAAATAATATTTATTTATAATTTTTAACACATCCGCATAAGGACCTCAAGGGAGAACAATACTCTCTTTACTTACTAAGATCACTCAATATTTATTTATCTATTCTTGTAGCACACATTTTCTTTTTTCAGGATAAGATTTGATTTTGTCTCTACATTTGACATTTGTATTGGTTATATTGTTAATTTATCCATGCTTTGGATGCTATTGATTTGATTTTATTCTTTTTATAGGTGATTGTAACCCCAAAGATAGATCACATCTAAATTGTGATAAAGTCCACTTGTCAATGTGCTACTATTATTTTTATATGTATTTTTATGTTTATGCTGATGATGTTAATCTGTCACCGTCTATAGTGTTTATTTGTATTAATCATATTTTCAAATTATTTGATTAGATTTTTTTTTTGATTTTTTTGAGTTATTTGTTTATATTAATTATCTTTTCAAATTACTAAACATTTATCTGACTAAAATTTAATAAGATTAGGCATTTATTTAAGAAAGGTGACTTGATATTGTAATACTTTTCTTTTGAAAAATTAAATATGAATTAAAATGTAAATGGTTGAAAGAAAAGTATAATCATATATAATTTGTTTATTAAATCGTATATAATTGATGCAGGGATAATATGATTTGATCGTAAGAGGATGTTTAAGCTGTAAATAATGAAAAAACTAAGTTAATTGCGTCTCACTGGGAGTGCAAAGAAACAAACGTACAAAAGGTTGGAACAAACACAACTGCTAGGTTGTATGTTCTCGGGATTTATGTAATGCATAGACAATAATGTACAAAAGCCATGCAAAATACAACGTTTTACCAATCCTTGAGTAATTCTCCGGCAACATCCTTGTAACTCACTTTCTTCTTCTTTGGTGGCGGTGCAATAATGTCATCATCTACCCTCTCATCCTCCACAACAGGAATCTTAGCATTGTTATCCACACGTGGTCTCTCGTTCCGACAACGGAATGTGTAGTTTCAACATGCTTTATTCCAAGGCTTGGGATCATGTCCAGTAACATGGCTTGAACTGGATCAGACATTACTAGCTTTTCCGACTTTGAAGTCTCACGGCAGCTATTCCCTTCATCCAGTTCCACATAGTCGAACTTCTCAACACTCTTGCTGCCTTGGTTTTTATTTGTTTCATACATCACAGTATCAGAAACTTTATCAGGCCATTTTATGCTTGCATGATCGTTATTTGTTTCAGACATCACAGTATCAGAAACTTTATCAGGCCACTTTATACCTGCGTTTTCTTCTGCTACTTGATTTTGATGAAACTCGAAATCTTCCCTGCCAGCCATTCCATTGTGTTCAGTATTCTCTTCATCCTTCTCTATCTCCTTTTTTGTTTTGTCATCAGAACCACTTTCCTCAGACCTGTCTTCATTAATCTTAACAGACATCTTTCCACGACGTCTTGGTACTCTCGGAGCTCGGGTTACAACAGCTTTCCCTTTCTTTGTGTTCTTGCTAGCAGGTCTTCTCACCCTTTTCCCATAATCAGGCATAACCAATGAAATTGATTTTTCCAGGAGATCTTTGGCTGCTATCTGTTCTGTTTTACTTTCATGAGAAGCAGATATAACCTGGTTCTGGACGCTGCTCACATCTGGCATGGTCTCTCTCGGATATTGGTCCAATTTGCTGCACAAAATGATAACATAAAGCAATTATCATTTACGACATCCAAGTAGGAGGACAAAAAAGGGAGCAGGGCCTTGAACAAAGATCACTGATACAGGTACAGATATGTGCTAACTAAGTTGGGTAAAAATTTCAACAATCATGAGTTAGTTTATCATGAGGAAGTAGTGTATTTAAGTACATAATGGCAACAGAACTTAAAGTGTATTTGCACAAACCGTTCAAAGAAGTTTGTTTCTTCAACAACACATTGTTTCAAGCTA